ATGAGAAGAACTCATCTGAAGAAAGAAGAAGAAGTTCATAATGAGAAGAACTTGTTCAACTTTTTGCTCGAATTCATCACTCAATGGATTAACTTTTCCAGAGAGAGTTCATAATGAGAAGAACTCATCTGAAGAAGGAAGAAGAAGTTCATAATGAGAAGAACTTATTCAATCTTTTGCATGATTCTATCACAGAAAGAGATAGATCAGCATCAACATTTCCAGATTACATCACAGAAGGAGATGAATTGTCATCCCCAGTGAAAGAGTTCGTAATGAGAAGAACTTGTTCAACATTGCCATCATAATCAAGTGAAGTCAAATGAAAAAAAAACTTATTGTCTTTTAGTCATTGCCCTATTCTCGTTAACACAAGAATGAACAAAGAGGGGCAGCTGAAGACACTAGTTTTTTATTTCATTTGTTTTATTTATTATTATTTTGTTTTAATATTATTATTATTTTATAATATTATTATTATTTTTTTATTATTAATTTTATTATATTACAGGCCCAAATTACAAACCAGACCGGAGGCCCAATTACAACCCATACTAGCCCAGACCCAACAGACCCAACTTGGTCCAGGCCCAGATACAAACAGAAACCCTAAATTGATTAGGGTTTATATCACAAGCTTACAGCCGTCGTCGTTCCTGAAGACCCCAACCGTTTCCATATGCTTCCAGCCGCCTCTGATGATTCCAAGTGTCTCCTCTCGCCATTGTCGATGGTCAGCCAGCCCACGTCGACGCTTCAACTTCCAGGTGACCCAATCCGCTGCAACCACGACGACGCCACCTCAAGGAACACTCCAGAAACGCCTTGTCATCACCCCACATTGAGCTTTATGGTGAGTCACCACCATAGCTATGGTGACTCACCGAGAAACCCTTCTGTGACCGGTCCGAGGAGTGTTTCGTCGAGGCTATAAAAGCCTCGACTCGCCTGCAAAATAAAAAAACGAAGAGGAAGAATCGGAGAAAAATGGAGAGCAAGAATAAACAGAGAGCTACGGCAGAGAAAAACAGAGAGCAACCACCAAACAAGCAAAAACAACCAAATAAAAGAGGAGAGGAGAAAAGGAGACTTACCGAGGAAATCGCCGTCGTGATAGCTTCCACGAGTCATCGAAAAATCAAAAACCGAAGGTAGTTTTTTAAGATCTACGTAAATCCGGGACTATTTAAAGGAAACGGAGGTCTAAATCGGTTTTAGGTAGTACCGATCTATCTTTTAAGGGGTTTTTTTCTTTTTCGACCACCGGAGGCGGTGGTCGGCACCAGAGCACAGTTGCCGGCCGGAACTTTAATCCCTCCGATGAGGGAAGCTAGAGAGAGGCGAGAGAGAGTTTTATAACTCTCTCTGTTAGAGAGAAAAAAGAAAGGAAGAAATGAGAGAGCTGGCTCGAAGGGCCAGCCGTTTCGGGTTTAAATACCCCTCCCCGAACGACACCGTTTTGGGGAGGGGTCTGTTTGTAATTTATTAAAAGTTAAACCCTGTACGCAGTCCAGTAATTTTGTAATTTTATATTATAGTCACTAAAATCAAATCATGAACTTTTTAATTTGATCTCTTAATGTTATTTCTTTATAATTTAGTCACTGACATAAATATTTTAGACAAATAACCGATTTAGTCCTTTAATTCTAATTAATTTTATTTTAATCTTGAATACATGTTTTAAACTTATTTTAATTTGATATACGAATTTGATATAATTTTTAATCTAGTCACTAAATTAATAAAAAGTAAAATAACATGTTTAATCCCTGTAATTTTAAATAATTAATTATGAATTAGGTATTTAATTCTATTAGGTTATAATTTAGTCACTAATTTCAATTTTTATTTATTTTACAAGTTTTATATATAGTTTTAATTTTATTTATTGTTAATATGTTTACTTTTAATTATTATTACTACTATTATTATTATTATTTAGCCATAAATATATTTATTTATTTTATTTATTAAAATCTTATTTAATTACTTTTAACTTATTTTAATCCTGTTTTAATATTTATTTATTTATTTTTCAATATTAAGAAAGGGCAATCTTAAAACAACTGGATATCCATTTTCTGATATTTTTAAATAAATAAATATCTTACTTTTATAAATTATATCTATTTTTAATATTTATTTATTTTTTTTAATATCGAAGAAAAGAGCTGTCTTAAGGCACCTAGAAGTCCTTTTCTGATTATTCTAAATAAAAAATATTTTATTTATAATATAAATAATATTTTTTTAATTATAATTTTGAAATAATAGGATTATAAATTAAATATATTTTGAATTTTTAAATTTCTAATAATAGAGACAATTTATAATTAAAAAGTACCGATTTTGGGCGTTGTAGGGGTGCTAATCCTTCCCTAAACGTAACCGACCACGAATCCCTTTTTATTATTAAAAAGAATGAATTTTTGGTTATAACGCAGATTAGTTTATCTTTTAATCGATGTTTTCTTTAAAACTCTTTTAAAGGATGATTTTTAGGTATTCGACCTACCTAACCCAAAAGGCCGATGGCGACTCCCAAATTATTTTAAAAACCATTTATTCACATCATTTTTCCCGTCAAAATAAAAATTCGTGCCCGGACGAAAACCGGTTACGACACAAATTAGGTATTGTTACCTAACGAATTATTCAAAGATCCCATACCCCACTACATGCAACGATAAATTGAAGGGGATTTGTGAATGAGGGAGGGCAGGCAGCAAAACACAAAAACCAGAGAAAGGCACGGCTTTTCAAAAGTAACAAAGAGCAAGTAAGAAACGCGAAAAGAAAGCTTTGTTCTTGTAACGAGGGTATTGTGAAACCCACATAAACAGTGTAACTGGGGTCTTCCCCGTTTTCATCGAAAGCAATACAAATTTAATAAAGGTATTCTCTCATTTCATTTTTTTACTTTACAGTGCTTGTGTGCGTGTGTATGGAATTGAAACGCAAATAATAAAACAAAATAGGAGATAAAAGCTCACCAAAATTGTCTGAGCCTTAAGTGTTAGGTTGGCAGCGTCGAATTCCATAGTTTTAGATCGAGGTAAATAAAAAAGAAAGGGTTAGAATAAAACCAAGAGTGAGCCAGGTTAGGGGTGTCATCTCGTTTAAGGTTGTTTGATCGAGCTTCTCAGGCTGGTTCGATGTCGGTCAGAGCGACGGCGTTGGGAGGTAGTTGTTGAAATCCACGACTGTGTGATGAATGTTGAAAAATAGGAGGAAGAGAGCAAAGAGGGGAACGACGCCACTTGTGAGCGTGAGGGAGATGATAGGGGAAGAGGATAAGTGGCGCAGAGAAAAGGGGGAATGCTTTGAGTTAATGATATGGTAAATATTAGTTTTAGGGTTATATTTGTTTAATACGCTGGTTGTTTGTCCCCAAATATCCTTATATTTTAATCAATTTTTTCCTGTTTATGTATATAAATCTATTATATATATATATATATATATATGAATATTATGCGTTCATAAATAACCTGCGCTATGATTACATATTATATTATTTGCTACATTATGTGTAAGCATTATGTGTAGGCATATAAAACACGTGCAGCTTCAAAATGCCGTGTTTCAATGACATGTATATAAACCATTTAGATTATATTTATTATTTTATAAACATGATTTATTATTTTATAAACATGATTTATTATTTTTGTAAATGTCATTCTTCTTTCTAAAAGATTGGTTTTCAATGACAAGGTATAGAGTTTGATTGATTAAGTTTCTCGTATGTTTTAATCAATTATGATTTTATTAAGTTCATAATAATTAATTAGTTTGTGACCTTAATTATTATTGGTTTTACTGTTTAGCCATTTAAATTACTGTTAATATATATATATATTTGTTTGTCTTTTGAATTATAAAGTGTTTAGATTCCTTTGTTTATACTATAATCTGTAAAGTTTCATAGATCTAATTTTAGTCCTTTGTGTCTCTATTTACATACTTGTACATGTGTGCAACCTCATTTGTATATTATGGTTTCAATGTTTTATGTGGAATAAATGTAAATGTAAATTGTATTAAATTATTATTTATTCATATATTAACTTAGGTTGTTCAATCTTTATTATTTTGTATTCTAATTCTTCATGTTTGTAAATTATCACTTATGTTCTTATTATGTATGTTAATACGTATATTCGTTCGAAGTACATGCTAGGATTTAAAGGTTTTGTGTGATAATTGTGTTTCTTGTATGAGTTTTGTTTATTTCAAATCATGTATATATGTATGCCTATTATGTTACTTTCTAAACTTTACATATTCATGTGTATATTTGTTGGCTATTATAAAATTCTTATTTATTAATTAAATTCAAATTCATTTTCTTTTATTAATTAAATATATTTATATGAATATGCATTTTTGATTAATTCATTTTATTGCAAATGTCAATATTCATTTTTATACGTGTTAGTCGAAGATAGAATATTTCTTTATGAATAAGAAATAGATGAAATAGTTTTTCCGACAAAGGATTGCTAATGTCGAGATTTCTTTTCATATTAAAGAATTTTCTCTTTTAATTAATAATTCGAAACAAATTAAGCTTTAATAAATGTATCATATTTTAACTTGATATTTAGTTCAGGATTTCCACCATTTATGACAATATGTAAGCAATACAGTATCAATTTTGGGCGTTGTGGGGGTGCTAATCCTTCCCCATGCGTAACCGACTCCCGAACCCGTTTTAATCGATTTTTTTGTAAACGCAGACCAACTTTTGTCTTAAAAATGATTTTTCTTAAAATTATTTTTAAAAGACGCTTTTTTAGGTATTCGGCCTACCTAACCCAAAGGCTGATGGCGACTCTTTCCAATTTTAATCTAAATTAATTCAAAATCAACCATTTTCCAAAATTAAAATCGTAACTATTTTCAAAACAATTAAACGATTGTCCCGCCGAAAAAAGGTTACGACACCCCTCCAATTTCCCCTTTTAACTCCAATTCTTTCTCTTTGCTCGTAGATCATGTATTCGATGAAACTTGCTCTAATGCAAAGGTTTATGACCTTCTTACAAAGGATGTTATTCATGCCGCTCTCGACGGCTTTAACGGTTTGTTTTCATCTTTTCTTTAGCCCTTATTTTGATGCTATGTTTAAGAATCGATTAATTTCTAAGATGTTTAACTTTTTTATTAATGTTTTAGGGACTGCATTTGCGTACGGGCAAACGAGCAGTGGCAAGACATTAACTATGAATGGTTCACCAAACGATCCAGGAATTATTCATCGCGCTGTTAACCATATATTTCAGAAAATACAGACGGTGAGTTAAATCAATTAGTTTTTTCTTTTCTTTTAAATTGAGATTATATATTTCAAAATTGAATCTTTGACTTTGATTTTCTTGGGGTTGAATTGCGTTCCCAGATTACTGATCGAGAGTTTCTCATCCGAGTTTCCTACATGGAAATTTATAATGAAGAAATTAACGACATTTTCGCGGTAGAGAATCAGAAATTGCAGATTCATGAGAGTCTGGAGGTCCGGCATTGATTAAACTTCGATAATGTTTCAATTGTTTATCCATCAACCATGAAATAACTGGGGTTTCCTGTTTTTTCAGCGTGGGATTTTCGTCGCCGGTCTCAAAGAAGAAATTGTGAACAATGCTGAACAAGTGACAAAGCTCCTAGAGTCGGGAGAAGGTCCTTTAAATTTCTTATTTTTCCCCCTTAGTTTTATATGGCAGATTTTTTGCTAATATTTTGTACTCTTCTAACAGTTAATAGGCATTTTGGTGAGACAAATATGAACACACGAAGTAGTAGGTCTCATACAATATTCAGAATGGTATGTTCTTTTAACATATTTCTGAACATGAATGTTTATTAACTGAATGAATTTCACTTCTAATATTTGCTACCTTTCTTTTCCATTGCTAGGTGATAGAAAGCAAGGGAATTAATACACGCTCTTCTGGTGATTATTCAAGCAAAGGTGCAATACGCGTCTCGGTTTTGGTTTGTGTCTCATCGTAAACCTTGTTTCTTTTTTGAAGCCCTACTTTCTCCTGTTAATCTATGCATTCTTTTTTTTCCTGGTAGAATTTAGCAGATTTGGCTGGTTCTGAGCGGATTGCTAAGATTGGAGCTGGCGGAGTACGTCTGAAGGAAGGAAAGTGTTGAGATTTTACAGAAGTTCGAATCGACAACCGAAACGATTTACAAAGAGGGGTCTGAATTGTTTTTGTGTTTAGGGAGTAAGGAGATTGAAAGATAGAAAATTGCACAGTGATTTATAGTGGTTCGACTTCTCAACCAAGTCTACATCCACTACCTTAGCTCCTCACCAAGGATTTTCCAACAAATTCACTAATTTGTTCTTTCTTTTTCACGAATAAAGAGATAACCTTTACAAACTCTCTAGTTTTTTCACGGGCTAAACTAGAACATTTCCCTAGCTTTTCACAAGATCAGCTAGAACCTTTCCCCTTTACAAAATGATAAAAGAAATAAACAAATAAACCTCTCAAAGGTAGGTGTTTACAAGAATTAAGCTCACAAGAAAAAAAAATATTTACAAGGGAAAGATGAAATAATATTGAAAAACTCTTCTCCTGTGTTTGGTAGCTTGGATAGTTGTTCTCTTCTTTCTTCAAGTGTCATTAGTTTGTATTTATAGCTTGAAATGAGTTTGAAGTCATATATGCCGTTGGGGATGTTTTGGAGCCGTTTGGGGATTATTTTTCTGCAAAACAAGGTTGTCCATAACAGGGGTATTGATAGGGGTATCGGCACCCTTCATTAAATTCAAATCAACTAGCCGTTTGAGCCTTAGGGTATTGATACCTCTAAAGGGTTATCAGTACTCATTTTGCATTCTGTAATTTGAGCCTTCATGGGGGGTATTGATACCTTTTCATAGGGGTATCGATACCCATTCATAGCGGGTATTGATACTCATTCATAGGGGTATCGGTACCTCTTAATATTTTTGCTCAAATCCGAATTTAATAGACTTTAAATTATTTTTGAAATCTTTTCAAAACTTTGGATAAATTCAATTCAAGTCCAACAACATTTTGCCTTAAATTTTTTATATCGAAACATAGTTCTACAATCTCTCCCTTTTTGATATAACAAAACATTTGAAAAATCGATTTAGGCAAAACTCCCCCTTAATAAAATGTTTAATGAAAAAGATATCAATTGTTTACAAAAGGATACCAATTACAAAAGGATACCAATTGTTACCAATTGTTGGAAAATGTTTGAAAATGTTAAGCTCCCCTTTTTCATTAAGAAATCGAATTTTTTAAACCATACTTCTCCCCCTTTTTGTTATATAAAAAATAATTCAATCTTTGAAGTTCTAAAATAACATTGGAGAGTAAGTGATAAATTTGACATTTACAATTTATTTGAAAAATCAAAAGCTCCCCCTTAATAAATGCATTTCAAACAAAATTTAGCTTTAAGAACTTGACACTTAAACAAAATTGGATTTCAACAAAAAATAACAAATATGTTAGTAGTACATGAAATTCAATATATCCAAGTCTAAAATATTTTATGCAATATCAATTGTTGAAATTAAGTTCATATGCATAAAGTTTTTCAAAAATATTATGCATTTGAAAAAACAATTGATATCAATTGTTAGAGAGATATCTTATACAATTTTAAGTACATGCATAAACATTTAAATTTAGGTCAAAAAATTTAAAATTTTGATATCAATTGTTAAAGAGATATCATTTGCATTTAAAATCAAAGTATTTGAAAAGTTGATATCAATTGGTAGAGAGATATCATTTTCATTAAAACCAATTTTGACCAAAATTTTATTATGATGAACTAAAAATTCTGAAAAATCATTAAAAAGTTCATCATAAAACCTTTTTAACATACATGAGATTAAAACAATAATGCATAATCATTTAAAAACAAAAACTCATGCATGATTAAAATCAAATGAGGAACCAAATAACCAAAATTAAAAGCATTAAGCTTAGAGGTTACTCATTCCTTTTTCATGTGTGGCTAGAGCATCTTGAATATCATCACTTTCATCACCATTGCTCCCATACACCTACAAGAGACATTTAAGTAGATTTTGGTATCCAAATTGCTTTGGATCCTTGAACATTAGTTTTAATGTCCCTTGTTCCCTTGGGAACCCATACTTGTATAATTTTAAAACGTTTTCCTTTCTTCAAAGGACAAGTATGTTCCTTATGACAATGATAATGGCAATGTGAGCATTTTTGCCATTTTTAAACATAATAAGTTGTTTTTAGAAATTAATTCTTTTTTTATTAAGCTTTCAAGCTTAACTTTTAAATCAAAATTTTCTTTTTCTAAATCATTTATTTTGATTTTTGAAAGCTCTAAATCATTTTTCAAAATTTCATTTTGTTTTTCAAAATCAACTTTTGCTTTCAAAATCGATTTATTTTCAAATTTGAGTTTTGAAATTAATTTTAGATATTTGGAATTCATGGTCTCAAATCACAAATACAACTTATAATAAGCATCTTGTAACTTGTCAAAAGAATATGAATTAAATTCATTTGAGTTAGAAGATACCTCGGGCTCTTCACGAGCCATTAGAGACACCACCTTTATTGGTTCTTCTTTCTTGTTTCCATGAAGCTTTTTGAGCTTATTCCAAAGCTCCTTGGCACTAGAAAAAGAGGAAACTCCTTCATATATATCTGGACTAAATGCATAAAATACCATGTGCATGGCCTTGGCATTAAGTTGATCTTTCTTCTGCTCTTGGTCACTCAACTTCTTCTCCTTCTTCTTTAGAGAAGAGTAGCCGTTTTCGATCATCTCTCATGCATCAAGATCATTGGATTATATGAATAACTGCATTAATTTCTTCCAATGATGGTAGTTTACTCTATTTAAGTATTGAGGCTTGTCGATCAGTTGGGAGTCTTACATGTGGAACGAGTCGGAGGAGGAAGCCATCTTCTCGGTTATGTCGGGAATTAGTAGAGCGTCTTCTAGGATCATCTCAAGGATATTAATCCTTCTAACGAGTTAAGCTCTGATGCCAATTGTTGGGATTTTGCGGAAGCTTGAATCGATAATCGAAACGGTTTACAAAGAGGAGTCAGAACGTTTTTTGTGTTTAGGGAGTAAGGAGATTGAAAGATAGAAAATTGTACAGCGATTTATAGTGGTTCGGCTTCTCAACCAAGTCTACATCCTATACCTTAGCTCCTCACCAAGGATTTTCCAACAAATTAACTAATTTGTTATTTCTTTTCAAGGATAAAGAAATAACCTTTACAAACTCCTTAGTTTTTCACGGGCTAAACTAGAACCTTTCCCTAGCTTTTCACGGGATCATCTAGAACCTTTCCCCTTTACAAAAGGATAAAAGAAGTAAACAAATGAACCTCTCAAAGGTAGGTGTTTACAGGAATTAAGCTCACAAGAACAAAAATATTTACAAGAGAAATATGAAATAATATTGAAAAACTCTTCTCTTGTGTTTGATTGATTGGATAGTTGTTCTCTTCTTTCTTCAAGTGTCATCAACTTGTATTTATAGCTTGAAATGTGTTTGAAGTCGAATATAGCCGTTGGGGATGTTTTGGAGCCGTTTGGGGATTATTTTTCTAAAAAATAAGGCTATCCATAACAGAGGGTATTGATAGGGGTATCGGTACCCCTTCATTAAATTCAAATCAACTAGCCGTTTACTAGCCGCTGAAGCCTTGGGGTATCGGTACCTCTAAAGGGTTATTGGTACCCATTTTACATTCTGTAATTTGAACCTTCATGTGGTATTGATACCCTTTCATAGGGGTATCAGTACCCATTCATATAGGGTATTGATACCCATTCATAGGGGTATCGATACCTCTTAATATTTTTGCTCAAATCTGAATTTAATGGACTTTGAATTATTTTTGAAATCTTTTGAAAACTTTGAACAACTTCAATTAAAGTCCAAAACATTTTGCCTTAAATTTGTTATATCGAAACATAGTTCTACATAAAGTATATTAACAAGAGCTTAATGGTTCTTAGTAATGTAATTAATAAACTTAGTAATGGTGCAAAACAATAGTATTACTTATCATCTAAGAAGTAACCTTCTTTGTGTAATAAATATGTTCTAATCATATGACTTATTGTCAATTACGGGCACATATTCCTTATCGTGATAGTAAACTAACCCGTATACTCCAAACCACTCTGGATGGCTTTGACTTTGTCTGGGTCAACTTCAATGCATTTCCTACTAACAATGAAGCTCAACAATTTTCTAGATGTTACTCCGAAGGTACACTTATTTGGGTTCAACTTCAATTGAAATTTTCTCAATCTTTGGAAGAGTTTCCTCATATTATTGATATGTTCATCTTCAGTTTGTGCTTTGACAATCATGTCATCAACATAAACTTCAATCTCCTTATGCATCATGTCATGAAACAAGGTCATCATAGCTTTTCGGTACGTTGCCCCAACATTCTTTAACCCGAAGGGCATCACCTTGTAATAGAATATTCCCCACATTATGACAAATGTAGTCTTATCTATGTCATCTAGATACATCTTGATCTGGTTATATCCTAAGAAATCATCCATGAATGAGAAGAAGAAATTTCTTGTTGTGTTATCCACCAGAGTATCTATGTGCGGTAACGAAAAGTTATCTTTAGGACTTGCTTTGTTGATGTCTCGATAGTCAATGCACATGCGCACTTTTCCATCCTTCTTTGGTACTGGCACTATGTTAGCCACCCATTTCGTATACTTGGCCACTTTAAGAAAACCAACATCAAAATGTTTCTTGACTTTTTCTTTTATCTTAAGGAGCATTTCAGGTATCATCCTCCTTAGCTTTTGCTGTATAAGTTAGCATTCTGGTTTGATTGGTAGTTTATGGACTACCATATCCGTGTCTAGCCCAGGCATATTTTAATACGACCATGCGAACACGTCCTTGAACTCTTGAAGTAAGTTTATCAAACTTTGTCTCGCCTCAAATGAGAGTGTTGTGCCAATTTTAATTTCCTTCTTTTCTTCTTCAGTGCCCAGGTTCAAAATTTAAATTTTCTCTTCATGGGGCAATATTTGTTTGTCTTCTATTTTCTACCATTCTTAATAGTTCGTAAGGTAAGATGCATTCTTCTTCATTGTCACGTTCAATGGTTTCCCCGAGACACTTGAGCTGCTTAAAGTCAACCTTTGGGTCAGAATCATCATCGTCCACATCATTAACATCCAAAGGCCTGAAAGGAAAAGAATGGAAAAATATATATATGTAAGAGGAAAACATCCCACATAGAAAAGAGAAAAAATGTACTATATGGATATAAATAAGAAGTGAAAGAAAGAAATGTTTGCCAGAAAGAAAAATTGAATCTTTTATTGAAATATAAATAGAAATAATTCATCAACCCTTACAAAAGATCACCTATTGCCACGGGTATAAGCAAATAGGGAAAGTTTGAGTATTACTTTGAAAAAGATTTGAAAACCACATGTAGTTCTTTAGTAGTCTAGTTGTTAAGCACGAACCCTGGATCTATTAACATCCTTGGTGTCATCCGCTGTTATAGTATAGATGCTTAAGACCTTCAGAGCTTCTTCCAGATTAGTTAAAGTCATCCTTGCTTCCTCTTCAAAAACATAACCACTAAATCTGAACGTGTTGTGGAGGGGAGAAAAAGACATTGGTTCCCACTGAACTTCTTCTCCAGTTAATCTTGCATTCATCTTTTCTTTGCACCTTTGAATCTCTCTCCTTCTTTATTAATGATTGGACTGATATCTAAGCTCAAACTAGTCTAGCTTGATTATAGGAAAAATGGGGCATATTTTCCCTTGTAGAGAACTCTCGAATCCTTTTTCTATCTTTGCACCTTTCCCCAAAGTTTGCTTGATTTCCATCTTGGTGCAATATGAGAATCTAGGTTTGGGAATATTACCCCTTTCAGCCACAAATATGGCATTGACAAACTCCAATGATCGGAAAGAACATTCCAAAACTTCCTCATTCACATCTATATAAGGGACCTCAATGGACACGCTTGCCACTATGTCTTCTTCAGTATTGATATTTATTAGAGTCCCATCAATAACAAACTTGACTTTATGGTGCAGTGTTGATGGTACTGCCCCAGCTATAAGAAGGCAGTTGTAAGAAGGCATAATGTCCATCACCAAGAACTCTATGTTGTATATGGCAAGCCCAATGGTTAATGGTACTTCAATTTTGCCGAGCACCTTCCTCTTTCTCCCGTCAAATGCTCGAACCATACTCTGACATGTTCTCATATGGGAAATATTAACTAGTAATCTCTTAAGAGTGACCAAATACATTACATTAAGGGAAGAGCCATTGTCAATTAATACACTCGTCAAAGCATGCCCCTTGCAATGAGTGGTAATATGTAACGCTTTAGCCCCACCCCTTCCACCGGATGGAATCTCATCATCAGAGAATGAGATTAGATTATCATCCTAGATATTATTAATCAGTCAATCCAACTTATTGATCGGTATGTCTTTTGGCGTAAATGTTTTATTCAAGGCCTTCGGTAGTGTCTTCCCGTGTGTCTCCGAACTCAGTAATAGTGTCAACATTGAAATATATGCTGGAAGACTATGTAGCTGTTCTATAATGTTGTATTCATTGTGTTTCAAGAACTTCAAAAACTCCACAGCTTCCTCCTCTCTTATAGGCTCGTTCATTATTAGTTCATCTTCTTTGAATGGTTCAAGCATTCTCTGGGGTAAGCTAGACTTTTGGGAATAGTATTTCCCAACAGAATACCTCACTTCGTTAACATCTTCCTTCAAAGAACTCACTTGGAATTCATACTTCCAAGGTAGTTATTTGTTGTCTTTGTAAGGAAAAGTTATTGGTGTCACTATCACCACCTTTTCGGTGTCTTATTCGTCATCTTCGCCTTAGTGGTGATTATCAAAGGGTGGTCCATGCCATATCCCTTCTTAGATAAATCTCTAGTCGCACAAACATCAGCTTTCGAAGTGTCCTTGTTTGTCTCATAGAATTTCAACTTCTTCGTGCCTATCATAAGATGGATCAAATATTTAAATTCGAAACACTCGTGCACATCATGTCCCTCTTCATTGTGATAATAACAATGGTTACCACATTCGTATTCCGATGTGTTAAAATGTGGTAAAAGAAATTATGTCTTTACCATTTGCTTCCATACCCAAGCAGATGAGACTTCACTTCAAAAACACTAGTTTTGACTATATTACGCCTCTCCTCGATGATTGCATTAACCCCTCTTTCCTGGTTGTTAGGTAGAGGGTTCTGTGTAATGTTAGGTGTTTCTGAGTTGTTGAAATGAATCTAGTTCCTGTTGTGCATCATTTGAATGATCCTCTTAAAGGTAAAGCAATTTTCAATAGCATGCACCGGGACACCACCATGATACTCACAATGTTCGTTTTCATCATACCAATTGGGGTATAGAGGGTTTAGTGGTTTTACTGGTATAATGACACCACATGTGTGTCGAAAAGCTGTTGGTAAAGTTCTTTGTATGTAATGGGAATCGAATTGAAATTTTTCCCTCCTTGGTTCCCTCGTATCTTGTCTAGAAGTACCTGACGGTACAACTGTAGTTGATTTTAACTTAGAGATCGTAATAGTTTTGTTGGTATTAAAAGTGTTGATTTTGTTGATCTCTCGTTCTCTTTTCTTTATGGGAAGTCTTCTGCTTGACTCACATCTCTCTATCTCCACTTGTCTTATGGTCGTTTCTACCATTTCTTCAGTTATAACAAGATCAGAAAAGTTCCCTGATGTGATTGTGACCAGGTGTCTAAAGAAAGGAGCCTTCAAAGTGTGTATGAAGAGCTTTCATGTTTCTTTCTCATCCAAAGGTAGATGAACTTGAGCAGCTAAATCTCTTCATCGTTGTGCATACTGCTTGAAACTCTCATTATGTTTCTTCTCTATACTTTGTAACATGACACAATATTGTCTCATGTCATTTACATGCTTATATTACTCCAAGAATGCCTTGGCGAGATCTTTCCCTGTCCTGATGTGTGAACTGTTCAGCTGATTATACCACCGGATGGATGGACTCGCCAGACTCTCATAGAAACAGTGAATCAAGAGTTATTAATTTCCCACATATACTGTCCTTTTTTTACAGAACATGGTAATATGGGCTGAAAGGTAACTATTCCCATCAAACTTCTCGAAATCATGGACTTTAAACTTCAGAGGAATAATGAAATTCGGGACCAGACTTAATTCCAAAGTGTCAACCCCATAATAATTGTCTTCTCATCTGATTATCTTCATTTGATCTTCAACTGCTTGATATTCTCCTCCATATTCTTTTTTTATCCTCCTCATCAAAATCTGGAATATGATAATCATTTGGGTTATTCTGGGGGTTGGTTATAGAGGCATGTTCTTTTGCAGTATACGAAACTTGTGCTTTTACAGTAGATGAAGCTTGTGTTTTTACAGCAGATGAGTCCCCTTGCAGTCCTGGTAGGATTCCAAGTGAGATAACCAGCTGAGGGGTAGATGGTACAGCCACCCCTTCAGATGCCCCTGGCCCAGGGGCACTCATTTGATTTAGGTCATACAATTTTGCAACGATCTGATCAACCAGTGACTCTTGGTTCCTGGTGATAGAATCCAAGGTATTTTGATTATTCTGACTCATTTTCTCCTCAAGTTCTTTTTGCAATTTTAGCATATTTTCCTCAAACTGAGTGATCTTAGCTTTCATCTTCTTCTTCTTTGAACACGTATTGTGAGGATGAGGTGTGTTCAATGTTTGTTCCTTTTTTAATGAGACATTTTCTGTTAGTTAATTTGAATGTAAAGAAATGAAAAATGCAAAGAAAATATGAAAACAAATGCATGATATAAGAAATTTTTTAGGCATTGATCCAAATCATGTCTATTATTATAGATAGTCTTTATTGGGACAAAAGTGTTACTTCTAAGAGACCAAAAACAATTCAAAGGTACATTCTAGATAGGTCCTCTAGACTTCAAATGGCTTCTAATAGGTTGACAAGTCTTCTTGTTTATTCTGTCATTAACTGAATACCTTGTAAAACCACCTCAACTTCTCTTGCCAAACCATGCAAGTGGCGTGCCACTTTCTGTACATACTCTAAGAAGTCTTAAATGATTGTATCTCTAGCCTTCACCATTTGTTGAGTCTGTTCCCAACGGAAACGCCGCTGGATTCCTCCATCAAAAGGAATAATTTGGAGTTTATTTGCATGTTTCTTGAATTTGTTCATAATGACCTCCAATTCTGTTATAGTTTTTTCATATGGTTCTTGTTGTCATTGAAGAGACCTCTCCAATCAACTACCTTGGTCTTTAACCGTTTGTTATGGTGTTGTCTTTCTAACAAACATCTTTGGGAAAGCCTTTAACTGCTCTTTTAGTGTTTCTCTTTCATCTTTTCCCTCAAACTTCCTTTTCAGGTTGTTGGCTTCACCTTTCCAGTACTCGAAAGATCTTTTTAAGCTATATTTTTTTTGAACATGCTCTTGATACCCTTTTCTTAAATCTTCAAATTTAAAGCAGATTTTCTTCTATTCTTTTTCTAGCATGTCTGCTCTGTTCTTTTGAGTATCATCATCTAGCTTCTAACTCTCTTAATCTTTGTTTTAATTCTTCTTTTTCATCTTCAAATTCCTTTTTTGTTATCTCCAATTCATAGGGGACCAGCTTAAGGTGCTCTTCAATGGTCCGAGTTTTCTCATGGTCTTGTGTGGGAATGGTTTCATTCTTCCTCAACTTTCATCATTCCGTATAGTCTAGAGTGATCATATCTTTTTCAGCCACAACCTCTATACTAAATATCTTTTTCCATGACTTAGCTACATCTTTGACCTTCTTCTTGTAGTTGTCCTCACGGTATGCAAATTAAAATCCAGATATCTCATGTGTGACTGGAACAAACTTACGTACCCCAAACTGCCAAAGCACTAAAAGTGGAGAATACCCAACTCCTCCCCATAGCACAAGTAACGTTACTATTCCTGAGTCTCTGCATCAGTAAAGAATGTCACTATGAGTCAACCAAGGGGCTCTCCATATGATGTTCTTATCTTGTAGGTACGTGAATACCTTTACCAGTTCTCCTTTGGAATACCTTTTCACCATTTTTGTTTAAGGAATTCCTCCAAATAAGAGTAAGTAGTACTGAATCAGAAGTAAAAAATCTCATTTTTTTCATAAATGATTGTGGATACAAACCTGAGTAATTGCGTGCACCCTATAAAATGCCCTCTGCCAGTCTTTCTGTAATAACTTAGTGAACGGAATGTCTCAGCTAAAATTGTTGGAACATGATTTACTCTTTTGGGCAGTTGCTCAAATAGTTCCACCACGGCTGCCTCAATATATCCCAAAGTTTTGAGAAGATAACCAGTCTATAGACACCCAGGGCAAAGAGATCGATTGCCTTCTACTCATCAGGGTGATTATTCATTAACTGTTTGATGTGAGTCCAAGTAATTCCTTCACCTTTTCCTTTGTGTTGAATCCGGTTAGTGATCCAATTTTCATCAACCCCTACAACTTTTTCCAACCCATTTTTGAAAGGCTGACTCTTGATATATTTGATGAAGACTCAATCCATTCTGATTCCTTCACAGTGTAACATGGTGGTATACTCCTCAATTGTAGGCACCATGTCTTCTTGTTGAAGGTAAAACAGTTGTATCCCGGATTCCAAAACTACACAAGGGCTCGAATTAAATGTTCATCTACCTTGATGTAGAGCAGGTGTGCGATATCATCGTATCGCTGGTAAAACTTATGTTTCATGTCAGCTTTCCAACTGTCCTAAATATTGCGCAATTCATGGGTATCATTTTGTTTAAGGATGATGGAAGCGTAGCCAACCAGGTGTGACTCATAGTTATCTTGCAGATTGTCTCATTTTTCCTTCTAAGTCTTTTCTGACCATAGTCGTACTTCTGCATTTCTAACATCTTGCATTACAACTCATTTGTCCATTAATGCCAACTATTTAGGTTTTAACGTACACTTTGCGGATTAACTCCTCTTTATATGATGTAAATGAATGTAAAATGGAAATAAAACAAAAATGAAAGGAAATAAGTTAGAAAAACAAAAATCAAAAAATCAAAATAATAATGGAAATAAAAATAAAAATTCCTACACCACATGTTTTTATTCCTACCCGGGCATGATCTCTGTTTCGCATGTTATTTTCTTGAACAAATCCTAATCGCATATATTTCTAATTTGCATGTTTTAAACAGAAAATAAAACAGTAAGTAAATCAAGACATCCTAGGCTTTGAAATGGAGTTTTGGGTGGGCTCTAATTCCTTGCAACATCACAGATTGGTTCTAAAAAGGTACCTGAGTTCTCCTTACTGGTTCCCCCTTGGGCCTGCCATATCCTCAGTCCTAAGCTCATTACAATCTCATGTAGACCAAGTTAAACTCGATAGGATACATTCCTTTATGTCTGTATGGAAAATAAATTCACACAAAGACATAAGGTATATGAATCCCGAAGTTTACTTGCTAGGTCTATACAAAGAATTAATTCCCACGAAGACGTCGCTTTCACCTCCAATTAAAAAGGGTTTGGAGCTCGGGCATAGAGCCTGAGATTGAATTTTGAAAAAGATGAAATCATTGAAAATACATCAATACAACTATTTATTCAAAAAATAAAAACAAAAAGTAAATAACAATGATCGAAAGGATAAATTAGAATTTAAACTTACAATTTTCGCTTAAGAAGACAACCGAAAATTAATTTTGACCTGACTCACTTATTTTCCCAGTGGAGTCGCCAAGCTGTCGTAATCGTCCTTCAAGTGGGCCCGAAATCGGGTTTTGACTTGATTTGATGTGATGGAGGCGCCACCGATCATTTAAAATTAGGTTGACCGGGCACCTTAACTTACCATTTTTCTAATCTTCGTTTCACCAAAAATTAATCGGATTCAGGAGTCGATTACAGTCTAAGAATGATTAGCACCCTTGTATTGCTTTTTCGACTAATTTGATTTCTCGGTTGTCTTAATTGTGAAAATTAAAATTTAAAATTTGATATAAATTACTTACCTTTGACCAATTAAAATCGTCCTAAAAAGAAGCCAAAATAATGTTAAATAATAAAATTAAATTAAATTAAATTAAATTAAATTAAATGAAAAATAAAAAAAAAATATTAGATTAAAATAAATATTAAAGAATAATTAAATTTAAAAAAATTGAAATAAATTGAAGTTAATTGGAAGCTGCAAGGAGGAAAATAAAAGTTGGGGGAGTTAATTTGCATAATATAAGAAATATAAATAGGGATCAAATTGAATTAATTCAAAATCTAAGGGAAAACTTACAACAAGTGACCAAAATGAATTACGCATCAAACTTTCAAGGACTACGAAAATAATTAAACTATTTTATAATTTCACTAAGGCCCTCCTTATATAAAGCCCAAAAACCAGGAAAAAAATCACCAATTTCCTTTATTCAAAATAACACTCCCTAAAAACTCTCTCAATCCTCTCTTCCCCTCTCTTAAACGGCCACACATCGTAGCCTAAAACCACCGTCCACCGTCGCTCCGGCAACCACCTCCGATGGCCAAAAAATTCAAAATTACCCCCAAAAAATCTTTTTGTCCTCGTAATCTTAAAATCGGGACCCTTACAACCTCAAAACAACCATGCATTCATATATCTAGGATTATCATTCTAGTGATTACCTATTTTTGACGAAAACCTTTCGTTTTCTCAGTGATCGTTCCTCCTCCTGACACTAAAAACTGAAGGTTGCTTTAGTTTTTGTATTTTTGTGGCTTATTGGTTGCTTCGAACGTTTTTTTTTTTGCTAGATTTGCTTTCGGTTTTGCTATCTTTTTCTATATTTTTCCATGTCCCTTTCGGCTTCATCGGAGGCCCTTTTATAGCCCTTGGAGAGGGGTGAAATTCTCTTGAATCGGGTTGTTAATCCCAATCTTGTTGGGATTCATTGTTGCAGTCATGGCCGATTCTCTCGGCGTGTTGTTGCTAGAAAATAAGGGACGTTTTCCCCTTCAACTTGCTCCGTGATTTGCTCCGATTTTACTGTTTGACTTCGGTATGGCATCGACGCGTGGCCTTCACGCGCCCTGTAATGCTTCCCTTGCGGTGCCCTTGCTTGATACAAAACCCTATCCCCTATTGGGTCACGCAGACGGGATTGAGCCTTACCGGGCTTGCTTGGTCAAGCTTGCTTCGATTGGGCTTCCTCATACCCTTGCTGGATTGGACTCTGGTTTGGACCACTTAATTGCACTCTGAAAAAAAATTAAAAAAAAATATTCATAAATATAACTAAATAATAATATAAAATATATAATATAATAAATAACACGTACACCATATTTATTTTAAAACTATATAACATACATTATATTTTCAGAAACTCTATTATATATATTTTTAAAATCCGTTTTTAAAAACTGTATATTATATGTTTAAAATAATTTCAAAAACTATATATTATATATTTTTGAAATTATATATATATATAACATATATACTATGTAATAAAGACCCTTGGAGTCTCGGACGAAAATGAGTGTCTACAATGCCAAAAAAGTAAAATGGTGTTGGACAACTGCATAAATTTTTAATTTACTATATATGGCCTGCATTTTCAGGATTTCTCAAATGATAACTACAAAGAACAAGTCCAAAATCTCAAGAGACAGCTAGAACTTGTCATGACGAAAAGAATGAACTCGAGGTCAGTATGTGGCTTACATTCCATTTTTTTCTTGATAAGCATTAATGGGTGTTTCCGGTAAGTTAGAAAGTTAGTTAACTGCATGAAGCTATCATTTCAGAAAGCATTTTCTTTCCATGTTTAAATGCAAACTTCTACTTACTGATACCAGACCCGTCGATTCTGATTCAGACCTGAAAATTTGATCCAATCAACTTAAGTCTAAACCCGACGCAATTCGGTTTGGCAATGAAAAAGTCAACTACTAAAATTTGAAATGATCCAAACATGAAATGACATGAAACTAAACTGGAACAAAATGACTCGAAACTAAACCAGCGTAGCGAATTGGATACTTGTACGTGATGAATCTTTTAATAAAAACATGTTTTACACCGTAGCGAATTGACGTTTATTACCACTTATGATTCATACTATTGTGTGCATTTCTTTGCTGTAACTGCTTTAAGTGTGGCATTCGCAGAGAAAGCATGAAGAAGCAACACAATTAAATGGCATACTAATGGGAGAAATATCTGAACTTAAACAAGAGTTAGATGTGAGTAACAACTTGCTGGAGGTTTCCAAAGAAAGATATGGTAGCTTGGAAAGAGAGTTTCAGCTGTTGAAAGAAGAAGAGAATTCATTGCGGAAATCGGTCTCCGAATCATCTCAAAAGCTCAAATTTGTAACTGATCAAAAGGAAAACATTTTGAAGGAAATGAAATATGAAGTTCAAAGAAGGAAAGATCTGGAAACGGAGATTAAAAAATTCAGTGTTGCTTTCGCTTCTCGACAGAGATCACTTGCGTCGATTCACGGTGAGTTCAAATCTAAAATCGAGAAATTGGGAGCTGAAAATCCAGTTCCCCTGCACAAGTCTGTACAGTATTAAAGCAAATCAATTTCATTTCTTTCGTTCGTCCGGTAGCTTGAATGCTGCTTATCATTTATGATCATTACATGGACATTGGATCTATCAGTAGCTTTGCTTCCAAGTTGCTTGAATGTGTTCTCAGAATTGCCAGTTTTCATTTCAAATATCTACTTCCTCTTGGAAGTTAAAACTGCTACAATCGGTTAATAATAATAAAGAAAAGGAAGTTTGAATCTTCCATAGAAAGAAATGGCGTAAAGTCATATATATATAAAACACGACAGCAAAGGATGATATTTTGGCCATTAATAATAAATATGGCATTCAGCCAAGGGATATATCAATGCTATTCGGCTATTGACTCAAAACTTATAGAATTCCGCCAGAAAGATAATTGGGTTAGTATAATTGGATAGATAATCAGATAGTCGATTCGAATTTTTTAAATTTTCTGAAAAATAATTTTAGAGTCTAAGAGGATTTTAAAATTTAAAAAAAAATGATTAAAAGATTAAATTCAGATTTGGGATTAGAGGGATTGAGAGTGATTTTGATGATCTTAGTCAATATTTCAGTTTGAAGAGGAAGCTAGATTGATGATATAATTTATTGATTTTTGGATATATTGTTTGTGGTTAGTGATAGATTTTTGTGTCATTTGAGGTGGATTTAAAGTGTTGGATTTCCATTGATTCGATTCATTAGAGGTATGCATTATGTTCTTGAGTATGGAAATCAACATGTAAGCATGTATGTTTTGTATTGATGCACAAATTTTGCATTAAAATAATATGAATCTGATTTGAATATGTTATGAAATGAATCCGACACTTATTAGTGTACACGTTGGATTAAGAAAGCATACTTATATGAATATGATATGGATTATCAATGACAATCAATTTTGAAATCAAAATTTTATTTATGATTATGAAAATGACGTATACCAATTTGGACTTTGCATAAAGTAACATTGATTTGTTGACCTAGTGTTCTTTTTGAGACCTTTGGATATGTAGGACATGCTTTATGATTAAGTATACTCATTGTTAGGGGTATTTAAACTTCAGTTTTAACCTATTTAATCGATCAAAACAAAGTTTTTTTCGATTAATCAGTTGATAATTTTTTGTTCAATTGGTTAACGGTTAATGATTTTTTCAAACTTCGATTATCGATTAATTCGGTTTGAAATCGATTAATTAATATAATTGACCAAAATTATAAAATATTTAATAAATTATATATTAATTAGTCTTAGTATTGTTTAAACTTCGTTTTTAACCGAATTAACCAAAAATATTAAATATATCATATATCATATATATTATTTATAAATTTTGATTAATTCATTTAACTGACCGAGTTAATTAAACTTTGTTAGGTTTAGTTAATAATTTTTGAAAAAAATCGATTCAATTAACGATTAAAGAAAAAATCCGATTACTAAATTTTAAGTAGTTCGATTCAGCCGTTAACCGAATCGATCGATTGAACATCCATACTCATTGTTTTTAAAAATTTATCGATGTGTTTAGACCTCTGGGGTAAACAGAGAGAACGATGTTGCTTGAGCCTCACTCTTTTAAGTGATGGACTGGTGTGGTGTAGGGCATTAGTTTATGCTACACATTATAGGACTGAACTTGACTCTTTGATTCCATAAAAATGAGAGTTAAAAGGATATTCATTTATTCTATGTGTATTTGAATTTAATTGTATTTCAAATTGAACAAAGGTAAATAAATCATTAATGATAACGAGCATTTAAATTGTGTCACATGAATAAGGAAGCATGAGTAACTTGTCACATGAAAGATGATAGCATGAATGAATGCATTATATGATCAAATTCTGAACTTTAAGTAGGATGTCATTTCATTTGCATTATGGTAAGTTTAATTTGTAGCATATAGTGTGCTTTGGTTTGGTTTAATTTAGACTTGTGCATGGAATATGGACATTTTAATATATATTTTTTTGAGTATGTTATGATTGATTGATGGTTTGATATGATGTTAATATGCATGATTAGACAATTAGATAAATATGCAAAATGATTAAGTATATTAAACCATTTGATAAAAATGTGGTATACGGACGTTTCAAAAATGTTGAAGGGAAAAAAATAAGAGTATTGCATTACATAATCATATAAACCAACATCTATTTAAGACATGCATCGAAATCATGTTGACATAGGATACATCTGCCTTTCCATATTGGAGAAAGAACATGATTTTTAGAAAAGAGAAGAAATTCTAGGTGAGTGTTAGTGCATGTCAAACCAATCCAAATTCCTGGACATAATGATTAGAAGAATGATATTAAAAAGAAGAAAGAAGTTTTAGACAAGTGACATCAAAAACATATGTTTGAATCTCATGTATGATAATAAGTCATCTATATCATCAATAAGTCTTTCGAGTATGGTGAAATATCTTTAAACTATAAGTTTATCTTTAGAACATGATGATAAGTTCTTCAAGTCATCTATAATACCTTCGGAAAAGATGTCAAAACTTTCAGACTATCAACAGTCTTTAAAGCATGATGAAAAGACCTTTGGACAATCTATAAGACCTTTATGCCCTCTGTAAGATATTTGAGTGTGATGTCAGATCTTTGGGCTATCAATAAGACTTATGAGCATGAAGAAAAGAACTCTAAAACCATCGGTAAGTCTTCTGAGTGTGATGCTAATACCTTCAAGTTATCTATAAAACCTCTTAGTATAATGCTAAATCTCTTAAAATTTTATAGTAAAAAAGATGAACAATTTATCATTCAAAATCTCATTATTTTAAATTTAAATGAAAAACATCATTCAACACTTCAATTTTAAAGAGTGATTCATTCGAAGTCTCGTCACCTCAAATTAAAGGAGAAAGATAACTTTCATCACATCAAGTTGAAGGAGATATTCATTTATCATTTGAAGTCTCATTGCCTCAAGTTGAAAGGACATTAGATCTCTCTCTGCTTCAAGTTGAATGAGAGATTCATTCAAAGTCGCATTGTCTTAATTTAAAGGGGCGCTATATCTCTCATTGAAATTACACTTTCTGTCATCTCGCCTTTTTAGTTCTTGTAATTTAATCTTTTTTTTTTTGTATGATTTCGTTGCTTTCTAGGCTCTAGCCTTGTAGTTTTGGAACTTGTTCGATTAGGTCATTGAAATTAAAATTGGTTTATAAACTTAGCCTTATTTCTTAATTGGATTCAATTTAATCCATAATTTGAAATTAGTTACTGAATTTGACTTAAATTCTTAAAATCTTCAATTTTAGACCAGAATTTGATATAAGTTGATGAATTTGGCCAAAATTTCTTAATTCAGTTCAATCATTAAGTTGAATTTGATTAACAAAAATTTTGACATGAATCTTTTGATTGACTTTAATTTGACCATAATGTAGCTTCTTAACAAGTTTCTAACCTCATGCAACATATCTTACAATTTAATTCTTATGCATGTTTATTATTATTTTTATATTATTATTTATCATCATTAGAAGTGTTATTAATTATGTCTTTGTAATCTCCCTTTATAAATAACATAATTCTTTTAAGATATCAACTTTTGAGTATGGGGGTAATTCAACCTTTCTTACACGTAATCGACTCTTAAATACAACCATGATTTTGATATAGACGCAAACCAGACTTATGAATGTTCGATAATACCTAGAGTCAGGGGCGGGGCTCTGTTGGTGCCCAAAAGGGCCCCAGACCTGTTAAAAATCTAGTATATTCGATATAATTTTGGTCTAATAATAATTTGGTTCATGTAAAAATAAATATTTAAATTGAAAAATATAAGAATTTATTAAATACTTAATTGAATAGGGGTTGGACTAAAGAATGATAACCTCGTTCTCAAATTTTTGGTATAGTAACAATTTAAGTTATTGTAAGTTTAAATATTAAATAAATTAAGTGTTGTCTTGTGAATTTTGAGTTTTTTATATATAAATATGAGGTGAATACAACTATATGTACAAACTCTCAATCATTTGACAATGAATGCTTATTCTCTTAAACACACAATGCTCAATTTCGAGAACTCAATGATAACAACAATCCCTTAATCATTAAGGTCGCTTGGTTCGTGCTGAATTTTGAGTATGAATACCTAATAAGTCATTTTATTTTTCTTGAATAGTCTAATATTTTTCCATCTGTCAATATTTAATACTAATTCCGTCCCTGCCTAGAGTTTATGGAAGACTCAACACGTCTGAGCCACTGTAAGATGACTTCTACACTAAACAAAACATTAATAAATTAATTAATCATTATTAAATTATTTCAAATGATTATTGAATTATTAAGAAATTGTTAAATTTAAATATTAGATATTAATTGATTTATTTTGAATTATGAATATTTTGACAAAATGCATAAGTTTTTAGGTCTAAAACTGTTATTATACCATGTTATATCATCGTTAATTAAGTCAACAGTAAAATTTAATGGCAAGTGATAAAAAATAAACAAAATTTCATGTATGATTTTAAAAAAATAGTTGGTAACCAAAACAAAAACACAAGAATAACTAGATGGCCTAATAAATAATTTACCCAAATTATTATACAAAAAATTCACATTATTTAATTGTTACAGATTTTATCATTTTACTCGTTTTTTTAATGTAAGTTTTTTTTCTTTTTTTTTTTTTTGTTGCTTATTTTAAAATATAAGAATCAAAATGATAAAACAGTAACTTGTAAAACATTTTGTGGTTTGTTTCAATAAACAAACTTTAATATCCTTTTATTTTTTTTAAATGCATAATCTGATAATAAACAAATAATTAAAATACTTTTTTCATTCTGAAAAATGAAACCACATAAATTCAAAAAAAAAAAAAACTCATGCAGAGACCTTATTCTTCATTACAATCCTGGTGACTCTCCTTCCCTTGAAGGTAACATGAGAATAGTGAAGAAGCCTGGACCTCCTAAACAACCTAAGTATGTCCTTCACTTCCTTCTCATTACACTCCTCCACAGCCACCACTATCACTCCACCTTTTCTCACAGTCC